GAGAAGAACCGTGAACGGGTAGTGGACGAACGGCTGGATCCCTATTCCGGTCGCTTCTTTCCAAGAGAGCCTCGTACCGAAAGACTCGCGACGTTACTGAGGCAGGAACGGACCGTCGAGTCCATTGTTCGGTCTCGGACCTGGGGCTTGGTCCAGGAACGTTGCGGCGATAATTCAGAAGGAGCCGAGCAAGCTCTGAACAAGTGGAGAGAAGAGCGAGAGCGGCGAGGTGGACATTGAGGAAGAGTGCCACGTCCGAACCCTTTGGAGACGCACATGGGTTGAGGTTACTCTTCTCCCCCATGTGCTTGTACATGTATTTTACAGGCAGATACCCTCACCACTACAAACAAGTGTAATAAGAGGTCTCATCCCTCGCTGTCATGAATACTCCGACTCTAGGGCCTTTTGACTATACACCATAGTCAATGGATCATGCGTACGACTCTATACATACGGGTAGTATCCAACTTCAGGTCCTCCCTCTTCTGCGCAAGTAGAGGACAACTTTATAGGTTCAGTGGATCAAACGGCATCCATAGGTCAACCCCTGAAACATTCCACTGGCTTTTGACCCCTTATTCCAGTCAATTATGCGACCCTTGCATAATTGCAGCCGTGTACATGTTACAGAGGATGACTGGCCTCTAGGTGATACCTAGGTAGTCAATTAAGTGACACTTCAACAATAAGTTCATGTACAGACTACCTCGTAGAGGCTGCTCAATCCACTAAACCTATACCTACCTAATAAGGTACCTAGTACCGTTTTAGAGAGCTGGAATAGTCTACTCGGTAGCTGGCAATGAGTCGGGAAATCATCGGCTTAGAGAGCTCCGAAATTTCAATGCTCTGACATCCCACCTTCGCACCTGCCACTGCCGCTACTAACTTAATAAAGTACTTATGTCGGTACCTAGACTTTATATGCTCCAGCTGTGTAGGTTAACTTGATTGCGAAGCTCCCTCACAAGCACCTAAGCTTCACTCCGTAGTCATCCCCTTCTCTGTTCCCCCCGAAAGACACTGAGACCGACTCAACGCCAGGTGTTCCTTGATCCTTTGATCCCTCGATCCCTCGATCCCTCGATCCCTCGATTCGACCTTTCCTGGTCTTCTTCTAGAAAATCCCATCCCATCCACCACCCAATTCAAACGGGCAAAACGTCCAGCCTCCAGCCTGGCACAGGATTGCTATTGCTCATCCGCCGCAGGCCACTCCGCTACGAAAAAAAGAAGACCCCGAGTCGTCTCTCCCCACGTCCCAAGCCAATCCTCGAGTCCGCCCTCTTTGAATAGTCGGGGCTATTTTTGTAAAATATTCCTACGCGGCGGAGGAGCTGTTGATCGTCACCGGGTATGCCTCAACCTCTAAGCGCGAAGGAGAGTTCTCTCTTCCGCCAAGTCATTCGAAACTATGAGGAGAAACAGTATAAGCGAGGCCTCAAGGCCGCCGAGCAGATCCTGAAGAAGAATCCGAAACATGGCGACACCATGGCTATGAAGGCCTTGATCATCAACTCACAAGGGAAGACCGACGAGGCGTTTGCCTTGGGCAAAGAAGCCCTCCAAGCCGATATGAAGTCACACATATGTTGGCACGTCTACGGGCTTCTATACCGTCATCAGAAGAACTTCGAGGAGGCCATCAAGGCCTACAAGTTTGCCCTCAGACTCGAGCCCGAATCACACCAGATACAGCGGGACCTCGCTTTCCTCCAGATCCAGATGCGCGATTACCAAGGCTACATCCAAAGCAGGACAGCCATGCTCAAGGCCAGACCGCAATTGAGACAGAACTGGACTGCTCTGGCTGTGGCACATCATCTGGCCGGTGATCTTCAGCAGGCAGAGAAGGTCCTGACGACCTACGAAGACTCTCTCAAGAGCGCGCCCGCCAAGAACGATTACGAGAATTCAGAAGCCGTCATGTACAAGAACTCCATCATCGCCGAGATGGGCGAATACCAGAGAGCTCTGGACCACCTCGAATCCATCGCGAGAAGCAACCTTGATCGGCTTGCAGTTTTAGAGTCGAGGGCAGAGTATCTGACCAGGCTAGACAGGAAAGAGGAGGCCACCAAAGCGTACCACGCGCTGCTCGAACGAAACCCCGAACATCCTGAGTACTACAATAAGCTTATTGCTGTAGCCGGATTACAAGACCAGGCGGCGCGAAAAGCATTGTACGACGAATACGCCGAAAAGAATCCGCGTTGCGACGCTGCCAAGCGACTACCCCTAGATTTTCTTACCGGTATGCTCTTAGTCGCTGCTACCTCATCTCGCGTTGCTAACATCCTGCCACAGGTGATGATTTCAGAGAAGTGGCGAAGAAATACTTGACGTTCATGCTGGACAAGGGCGTCCCCTCAACTTTTGCAAATGTGAAGCATGTATACGTTGATTCTTCCAAGAGTGAAATCCTCGGATCCTTGGCGCACGAATACCTCGAGGACCACCGGTCTAGCTCCGGTGAGAAGGCTACAGAGGCGGATGACCTAAGAGGAGAGCCTGCCGCCTTGTACTATCTAGCTCAGCACTACAACTATCACCTTTCACGTGACCTTGACAAGGCGATGGAGTTCGTGAACAAGGGCTTGGACATAGTTCCCAACAATCTGGAGTTCCACATGACGAAAGCCAGAATATGGAAACACTACGGCAACACCCAGAAAGCCTCCGAAACCATGGACCAAGCTCGAAATCTCGACCTCAGGGACAGATACATCAATACCAAGACTGCCAAGTATCAACTGAGAAACAATGAGAGCGAGACCGCCCTGAAGACCATGGGCCTTTTCACAAGGAACGATACTCCTGGTGGCCCACTGAGCGATCTCCTCGACATGCAGAGTATATGGTACATGACAGAAGACGGAGAGGCAAATGTGCGAAGGGGCAATGTCGGGCTAGCGCTCAAACGCTTCCACACTGTCTACAACATCTTCGATGTTTGGCAAGAAGACCAGTTTGACTTCCACAGTTTCTCGTTGAGAAAAGGACAGATCCGGGCCTATGTCGACATGATTCGATGGGAAGACCACATATGTGAACACCCTTCTTACACACGTGCTGCACTGGGGGCCGTGGCAGTCTATTTAGGCATGTATGACAACCGGGCCATGCTCAATGGTGTCAACGGCTCTGGAGAAGCCGACGCAGAAGCTGCTGCCGAAAAGAAGAAGGCAGCGAAGAAGGCCAGGAAGGAGGCGCAGAAGGCTGAGCGAGAGGCAGCTGAGAAGGCGGCGAAGCAGGATCCCAACAAGGCTAAAAACGCGACGGCGGAACCTGTAAAGAAGGACGATGATCCCAACGGCCTGAAGCTGGCCGCGACGGATGAGCCATTGAAGGAAGCCACCAAATTCCTAGTTCCTGTTCTAGAGAGCAGCCCCAAGTACATCGAAGGCCAAATCGCCGGCTTCGAGGTATACATACGAAGAGGTATGTCATCACTCCCGTACAGTCCCGCTCCTTACGCTAATCCGATGCAGAAAAATATCTCTTGGCCCTTCGATGTTTGAATGCTGCTCTGGCACTTGATGCCGATCACCCCACAGTTCATGAGCAAGCCGTGCGGTTACGAAAGACGCTCAATTCGAAACTAGGGTCCATTCCGCCCAAGGTAGCCGAGGTGCTCAAGTCCGGGTTCACGGCGATAGATTCGTCCGCCGATCTGAAGAAGATCAACTCGGAATTTCAACAGAAGCACAAGGACAGCCCGTCCCACACAGTATCGGCTATTAAGGTGCGGAAATTTCTCGGGGAGGATCAGAAGCAGTGCGAGAAGGACCTTACCGGTGTAGTGGGCATGAAGGGGATACGATATGATCAAGTAGAGGAGATCTTGGATCTGCTCCGACAGTGGCGAAGCAGCGAGGCGGAAAACTTGAAGAAAGCCGCTCATGAGAAATGGCCCGAGGTTACTGTCTTTGCCACGGCATGATGCGGAACATAATTATCATCTAGGCGAGCTGGCCAGCTCCCCCCATGGTATCTCTAGGTGCTGGACAAAACTCGCGAGCAGAGGCAACGAAGTGAGGAGAAACGCGGTACGACTTCAGGGTGGCGGGCGTGCGTGGCACGAGTTCGAATCTATCTCACTGGGAGTAAACCAAAATGGAAGAGCATTCAATAAGTGAGGTACGGCAGATAGCTAACCATCCTTCTGACGGCCGTGAGGTAAAAAGAAAAGTAGAAGAATGAAAGATGAGAGAAGAAAGAGACCGATGATTTCTAGATTTGCTTGTTCATGTTCATCGTCATGGTCATGGTCATGAGGTCGGTTTGAGGAGAAAAAAAAAAGGTTTGCGTTTCGAGGGAATGTAAGTGGATGGAATGATGGATGGCAATGCATCTATGTATGTGTATGGTACCAACGACATCAATACATCCTCAATAGAGAGAGAAAGAGAGCATTGACATGTAGATGAAGTGGTGATGATGGCCTGCAATGTGATTGAATAAGTGTACCTATCCAGATCGGAGGTATTCGTTGCGTCGCCTACTTCGATATGTACGCGTCGGGTATTTGCCAGCCAGCGGCCCTTGCCCGACCCGGCGAGTGAAGTCTAACTAACTAATCTACGGGTATGTCCAGACAGAGGCTGAGAGGGAAGGAGGACGGCATATCCCCGCCGTCCCGTCCTTTCCAAGTTGCCACTTCCATCTTTTCATGGCCCGAACCGAACAACGCCGTTCTCTCCTCCGACTTCCATCATCATACCCGGACCCGGACGTCGAGCATCATCAACTGTAGTACAAGTGAACAATTCAGAGCGTCCGACCGGGAGGGACTTGATAGAGTACTGGCAAAAAAAAAGTATAAGGACGATTAGTTGTTCCCATCTGGATTCAGAAAAGGAAAAATGCAGAGGAAGAAGCCAAATGGCTCCATTTATCGATGATCAGAAAGTCTTGATGGCAATAAAAAAAAAAGAAAAATGGTAAAATAACAAGAAGAAAAAAAGGAATTCTTAGGGAAAATATGAAAAATGAATCGATCCGGACGGGACTCGAACCCGCAATCTTTACCAATTTCCTCTCCGGAAAGTAATACGATACCATTTCGCCACCGGACCAATCGTTACTGAGAGCTTTTAATCACTGTCTATACCTATCTTGTTTGTCTCCGGAAGCATATAGGACCTATCAGAGCCAATCGGAGCTAATGGGAGCCAATAGGAGCTATTTAATAAGACCGTCCGTGCATGACGGCGACGGGGTTCTCCGCTGTTTCGCGTATCTCGAACCTTGCTGCCTCGAGTCCCCTAACTACGAGCGAGACGATCCAAAATCGATGGCGGTTAACAAGTAAGTCTCGAAGTCTCGAGAATGAGGAAAGCTGATGTTCTGCACGACACTCTTACCTCGACATGAACGTATCGGCGCGCATAAACGTTGACGAAGTACACCAATCCCTTCTTTACCTCGGGAGCCGCGATCAGCTGCCTGCACCGATATGTTGCATTGCCGACAGTACAGTATCTGTTTTCTGCACGCGCCGTGGAATCCTGAGACTGTACGGAGTATTGCACAATTCTACGTACAGGGGCGCTTAGTCAGACCGGCCGGCATGCTTCGCCAGCAGGTAACATAGCGCTGCCTCAGGAAGAGGCCACACAAAGGATGATCCGCCGGCAATTCCATACCCTCCCTACTCAAGCTCAGGTTTATCCTGTAGCAACTATGAGGGATCATTCGTCTCTAATTCCAGGATGGTTGAAGAGTGTCTAAACCCCCGGCTTTCCAGACTTCAAATCAGAAATTCCATCCGTCATGGAGTTCGCATACAAGATTGTCGACTCAGCAGTCACTACTTTTGACAGACATGAGCTGAATAAGCTACAAGTATCACTGACTGAGCTGGGCTCCCTTTGTTTGGCCCCGCTGCCCAACTACCAAGTCTTCGACATGGACCTGGAACGCGCGTTCGCCGACAAGATCCTAGTGATCGCTCGGCAAGGCGCGACCATCGCCGGATTTGTGTCAGCGGTCAAGCTCGACATACCCGGCCTGGACCACCCTGCCATACACTCGGGACTGACCTGCATCCATCCGATACATCGAAGAGCCCGGGGCGCTCTGAGACATCTATTCGCAGAGCTCTTTCTTCACATCCTCCACCAACATCCCGGCGGCGTCTGGATGACCACAGTGACGGACAGAGTCAGCTCGCTCGTGCAGATGAGCAAATACACCGTCAACAACTACCCTGCGCCCTCCTCTACCGCTGCCTCGAGCCTGAGCCCAGATCCCATCCATCTGCACATCGGCCGCAGCTTCAGCGCCACGCTTCGGCATACCTGCCTAGTCTCCCCCCGGGCAGAGCTTGACGAGTCGAGTTTTGTCTTCCGGGGCTCTAATGACCATGACGCCGCCTTGGCGTTCAAGAAGGACATCGACGATCCGGCGCACTGGCATCGAGATCACGAGGCTTCTCACTTTTATCGGGGCCTCCTGCGGCCCGGGTATGGCGACGAGGTTCTGCTGGTGGGGTTTCTGGATCCGCAACGTCTGAAGGCTCTCACTCGGGGCGACCAGCTGAGGGACCAGTGGCAGGAGAGATTCGCGAAGCTCTAGCCACTCACGGATGGACGTTCGTTGTAAGGCACTCGCTCGTTCACTTTTGATACGAGTGCGTAATCATCGACAGCTCTTGACACGCATTGCCTGCTCCTGAACTCTGAAGAAGGGGATGGACGTGGAATGGCATGTAATGGGGTAGCTGCTGGTGTCGACGTTCATATGATAAAGGTTCGCACCTAGTTCCAAATCACACCCCCTTACCACTGCGGTGCTCAATCAGTCAGGTTAAAATACAATACAAAGCGCGCATCAGGTGGACCAGAACAGGTCTCCAAAAAAAAGCCCTTAAAACTACTACGTCTATAATAAAACAAAAACCAGAACATTCTAGTTACAATCCAATGTCAACTCGCTCCTCCCCAACAACTCACTCTTTAAGTAAACATATCCCCGTCCCCACGCGTCATGAAGGGGTCGGTCCAGTCCACCACGTCCTTGTTCGAATACTCAAAGCCCCCGCCGGGCTTCACCCGCAACAGGAAGAAGTTCAAGACCTCGGCCGGGAGCTTCAAGGCCTGGGTAAATACCGGCTCTATGTTGGCCGGTACGTCGGAGTTCACAGTCTGGGCCAGGAACGCGATGGTTGCACGGAACAAGCCCGGGTCCGCGTCCCGAGAAAATGTGACCAGGGCGTGGCATATGGACATCCAGTGCCTGCGTCATCGCGAGAGACAGAATGGGTTAGCCAAGTTCAACGGGGCATTCATCCCTTCGCCGTGGCGGAGGGTGAGAAGGAGGAGGGAGGGAGGGGAGGAGGGGTTGTTGTTTCGGGAGTGAAGAAGGGAAGAGGGATCAAGATTCTATCTCTCTCTCCCCCCCTCTTCCTCCCCTCTCAAAACAAAACTTACCTGATGTGCTCCCCGTGCAGGGAACCCTGCATCAGCCGGAACTCCAGCGTCTGCGTCGACTTGGTCTCGTCGCCCGGGTACGTGGTGGTCGTGCCGCTGAGCCGCCAGTTGACGCTGCCCTGCTCGGTCTCGGCGTGGGCGCGCAAGGCCTTGCACAGGGCGGTGATGCTGTCGAACTGCCAGATGTTCTCGATGAAGATCCGCGGCTCGTCGGCCAGGGAGCCCAGGGGCACGTAGGCCTCGCACGTCGCCCGGTAGGAGCCGACCAGGCCCGCCTGCGGCTGCGGCCGGTACGGCAGGTCGGCCGGGTCGGACGGGCGGTCCCCCCCGGCACTACCGCCACCACCACCACCACCGCTACCGCTACCACCACCGCTGCGGGGGCTGACGAACAGCGAGTCCCAGAGGCGGGAGCGGCCGCGCATCGGCACGCACCACTTGCTCGTCCACCGGCAGGCCCGGTGCAGGTTGAACAGCGCCGGCTCCAGCACGGTCCACAGCGTGGCGAACTTCTTGAGCGTGCGCAGGCTCCAGCCGAACTCCTGGCCGACGTGCACGTGCACGTCGAAGGGCACCGCCGCCAGCGGGCGGTGGACGCGGTACTGGCCCCGCACCGCGCCGCAGATCCGGTCCACGGCCGCGAACGTCGCCGGGTCCGCGAAGTCCAGGATCGGCGACCGCAGCTCCGCCCCGAACCAGCTGTACGTCTCCGGCGGGCCGACCGCGTCCCCGTTGGCCTTGCTCCGCTCGTGCGCCGCCAGGCCGCCTCTCGTCGCCGCGTAGTCCCGGTCCGCCCGGACGTCGCCCGCCGTGACTGAGAGATCGTTCGTGCAGCTCCACTGTGGTCAGGAGGGGGGGTGAGTCAGTTACTTCTCTAGATATGTGTGTGTGTATGTCTGTGAATGCCGGTGGGGTCATATATCTCCTGTGGTTCCAGGACTAGAGAGACGTGCGCGATCTGGGGATAAATAATCGTAGACACGTATGTTGTGCGCGAAGTAAGGCTAAGGAAAAGGGGTTCATGAAAGAATAAGGACTTGGGTTTTTTTTTACTTACCGCCCTATACATATCATCCATCCCCGGCATGTTGACGTGCTTCGGGTCGCGACAGTCCCCGGGGTTGGCGATCGGATCATTCAAGAAGTCCGAGAATACCTTCTGCTCCAAGTAGTGAAACATGATCTTTTGGAACCAGTCTAAGCCAAGTTCGGTACGGAAATCCTTATCATCGGGGACGCTCGGGCCGAGGTAAGCGGTCACTCCTTCCCAGTAGGCTATACGTCGACCGATCTCCTCCAGCGTCGCCTGCCGGGTATCTTGCAGCTCGATCTTCTCGCGCTTGTGCCACTCGAGGAAGCTCGTACACAGCCACAGGGCGGCGGCGCGCCTGTTCTCCCCCGGGGTCTAGTTGCCGCCAGCGCCGTACATATCCCAACGGGGGTGCCACTCGCGCAGGAGCTTGTCGTGGTACGGGCCCGCCGGCGCCCGGCTCTCGAGGTTGTCGTAGTAGAAGAAGGGATGGCCGTCCATGAGCTTGTGGTACTCGAGGGGGTCCTTGATGCACGGGATCCCCAGCTGCCGGAGCGCGTCGATGATCGTATTCCGGCACGTGAACAGGTATCTATACTGCTCTGGCTCCTCTCCGTACAGCATCCGAGCCTGCCAACGGTCCTCGCCCGGATGGAGCTCGCCCCAGTCCTGCTGAACCGGGTTCGTGGCTACGAGGAACTCTAGCTCCAGGCCGACAGTGTCTCGGCCTCTGGGGACCTGCACGTCATCAGGGTCTGCTAGTATTTCGATCGGCCGCTCCTTGATCTCGTGCTCGGGTTTCAACTCGGGTTCCCTTCCTTGTTTATTTCGCATGCGTTTCGCCCAATAACGCTGCGCCGCAGCGGAATACGAAGTCGTCCCCTCCATGTCTCCTTTCGTGTGTTTCTATTAGCTAGGTGTTGAAAAGGTTTATGGCTTATTGGGGGATAAACATGACTATTACGGTTTCCCTAGGACCTATCCCCCAGTGAAACAATACTTATGAAATGGAAGCTGTCTTTCAATCTTGATACCAGTATCATCCGTTTGCGGAAGGCATAAGTTCAGCTTCGAGTCCCTTTGTCTAGTATATACCATAAATCATTTGGTGCTCGAGTGCTCGAATTTCGAACAAAGCCATTGCGCAAAAAGGGACACATCTGGAATAAGACCTTTGTGTCTGACCCTGGAGTATTGTAATAAGAGTATCGCTTTATTCAGAGTAGACGTGCAGTCTAGTGCAGAACATTTGCGACCCCTGATCATCCCTAACTGAGAGAACTTGATCATACTGCTTGCGCTCTTTGCGCCATTGGGTCTGTGATCCCACCCCTTTCGGATCAGTTCATGTCTAATATTCGAAAACCCTACCTCGTGAGGAGTATGACACGTAGTCAGATAATACTCGCAATGCATTTACATGGTTTCCTCGGCCAATGAATAGGATAATTTAGAGGAGCTTGCTCCGGGTGTGGTATGAGCCAAACACTACAGTCAACGTAATCATCTAGGGGATCAACTGTCAAGTGTTATTATACATTGTCTATATGAAGAAACACATGCCTCTCCTTAGGTATCGTTTCGATCCCTTCCGTCTCCCTTTACTAATCTTCGT